GAGGCGAAGGAATTGGGAATAGGGGATAGCATTTTTGCAGGAAGGTGGGTGGGAGGAGGAGTATTCTAGGTAGCTGTGGGAGTCGGTGGGCTTGAAATGAATATCGGTTTCTAGGTGGTTGCCCGATATGGAGACAGAGAGGTCCAGGAAGGGGAGACAGGTGTTAGAGATGGTCCAGGTAAACTTAAGGTTGGGGTGGAAGGTGTTAGTGAAGTGGATGAACTGTTCGAGCTCCTCGTGGGAGCACGAGGCGGCGCCGATACAGTCATCAATCTAACGGAGGAAGAGGTGGGGTTTAGGGCCGGTGTAGGTACGGAAGAGGGATTGTTCCACGTAACCTACAAAGAGGCAGGCGTAGCTTGGGCCCATGCGGGTACCCATGGCTACCCCCTTTGTCTGTAGGAAGTGGGAGGAATTGAAAGAGAAGTTGTTGAGTGTGAGGACGAGTTCGGCTAAGCGGATGAGGGTATCAGTGGAGGGGGACTGGTCGGGCCTGCGGGACAGGAAGAAGCGGAGGGCCTTAAGGCCATCTGCATGGGGAATGCAGGTGTAGAGGGACTGGACGTCCATGGTAAAGATGAGGTGTTGGGGACCGGGGAATTGGAAGTTCTGGAGGAGGTGGAGGGCGTGGGTGGTGTCACGGACATAGGTAGGGAGTTCCTGGACCAAGGGGGAGAAAATGGAGTCTAGATAGTTGGAGATCAGTTCGGTGGGGCAGGAGCAGGCGGAGACAATGGGTCGACCAGGGCATTCAGGTTTGTGGATTTTGGGAAGGAGATAGAAGCGGGCAGTGCGAGGTTGGGGAACGATGAGGTTGGAGGCCGTGGGTGGGAGGTCACCTGAGGTGATGAGGTTGTGGATGGTTTGGGAGATGATGGTTTGGTGCTCAGGGATGGGGTCATGATCAAGGGGGCAGTAGGAGGAGGTGTCGGAGAGTTGGCGTCTGGCCTCGGCGATGTAGAGGTCAGTGCGCCATACTACAACTGCGCCTCCCTTGTCCGCGGGTTTTATGGTGAAGTTGGGATTGGAGCGGAGGGAGCGGAGGGCTGCACGTTAAGCGGAGGCTCGGGGACCGCTTTGCAGAACACCTACGCCCGGTTCGCAATAAACAACTGCACCTCCCAGTCACGAACCATTTCAACTCCCCCTCCCATTCCTCAGACGACATGTCCATCCTGGGCCTCCTGCAGTGCCACAATGATGCCACTCGAAGGTTGCAGGAACAGCAACTCATATTCCGCTTGGGAACCCTGCAGCCTAATGGTATCAATGTGGATTTCACAAGTTTCAAAATCTCCCCTCCCCCTACCGCATCCCAAAACCAGTCCAGCTCGTCCCTGCCTCCCTAACCTGTTCTTCCTCCCACCTATCCCCTCCTCCCACCTCAAGCCGCACCTCCATCTCCTACCGACCAACCTCATCCCGCCCCCTTGACCTGTCCGTCCTCCCTGGACTGACCTATCCCCTTCCTAACTCCCTACCTACACTCACCTTTACTGGCTCCATCCCCGCCTCTTCGACCTGTTTGTTTCCTCTCCACTCTCTCCCTATTTATTTCAAAACCCCCTTCCCCTCCCCCTTTTCTGATGAAGGGTCTAGGCCCGAAACGTCAGCCTCTCTGCTCCTATGATGCTGCTTGGCCTGCTGTGTTCATCCAGCCCTGCACCTTGTTGTCTCAGATTCTCCAGCATCTGCAGTTCCTACTGATGAAGAAGTTCTGAGAGCAAACAAAACATGAAAAAAATTAAATTTCGAAAAATGCACACTCAAATTTCCCGCATTGGGTAATCCAAAAGATACCATATCCTTTTTAGCTATGCTTCACATAACAATCTTCCAGGTGGATATTCTAGCATTACACGTTTTACTATAATCTTGGTGAGAAAGAAATGTAAATTTTGTCCATTAGCCTGGGAAACTGATAAAATAAAAATGGTAGTTAAAAGCACCTTAACTGCTGAAACACTGGTGCTAGTGGAAGCATTAGATATGGGGAGTGTACTTTCTAATACTCTCAAGTAAGTTCTGTACATGGGTCAATTTGAGAGTGGTTTGGCTATAGAATTTTCTGTGCAAGCTCTTCTCTTTGAGACCTTATTCATTCAACAAACAGTGCTGTTGCGAAAGTGTTGAGGATTGATCTTGCTAATGTGAAGGAAACGTTGAAAAAAAATTTCTAAAATAAAGTGGTTGATGCACTTCACCATTTGTCAGACTGTTGCACAAAATGAAGAGAAATGAAGTGTTCACTCCAAGAACTTTATGGATGTCCTTGAAAAGGGATGCCCTCCTGTTATAATAAAGAATGAGAATGAGGGAAATCATTTTTTGCCTATATTGTTTTGTAGTTAAGCATGTTATGATTTTCATTGTTTAAAGGAAGAAAAGAGAACAGGGGATCCTTTATTCACTGCTGATGTTAAAGTTTACTTGTGTAATAATTTTCTTTTTTTTGGTTTCATTAGTATTTTTTAAGATTGTTCATATGACATCAAAGGTTTTATTTAAAAGAGAAAATATCTGTTAAAGGCAAATGAATTCAGTAAACAGTTGATGGGTATTAATATCAAGTAACTGAAGCAAAACATAAATAAGTGCTAATTCATTAATTAAATCTGTCTATATATATATATATATATATATAGGAGAAACAAGCATGCAGCAGTGCCATGCAATTGTTAGGTTAAGGTTGTTCACAGACTCCCCGGCTGCTTGTATTTTCTGTAGCCTTGCATCTTCTGTAGCCTCCATGTTTCATATACACATAGGCTATGCCCAATTGCAGTCCCTATTTCACTATTTGAGGGGACTGCTTCTGGTGTTTTGCTCACATCTGAGCTCCATACTCCTGATCGTTGGACATCTGGTGCAGAGGGGTTGCAAGCAAATTAGACGACTGCCTCATGAGTGGGTACTGGGCCTGGCCAATAACAGGTCCAGACAGCGCACCGTGGTTGGGGCTGTTTGATTCGATTCCCGCCTCTCTTCTGTGGTTATGTCAATGTCCCTGGAGAGGGAACCTATAGCATTCATTGGCACTCTTGAGGTTTTCCATGACTGATCGGCATCAAGTGGAATGTATTGTCTCACCCCACAATCAAATTTTAGTTTAAAAATTAAGTTGCATTGGAACTTTTCATTTTGTTCGCTTGCTCCTTTAAGGGATTATTGCTCATTAATTTTGCTCATTTGCTTTAATCGACATAATTTAATATATTGTATTCAAAAGAGTGTACAGAGAGGAACAGTGTGGATTGGCGTTAGAGAATTATGTGACTATGAAGGGGTCACTAAATTCTCCATCAAAGAGAGGCTACATGTCTTATTTCATTGTCACCTAAAAATTTGGACCAGTTCAAGTTTTGAATGAAATGATTTATCCATTTTTATTCCCCTTGCTAATCCAATCATTTAAATTCCACATCAGTAGAATTAACAGAGTATACAAAATGCCCAACGTAGCTCATTTTGGCATTAACTGCCTCTTACCAAACAGGGAATAAATTACTCCAAACATAATGTCTTCCTCCTTCGATATAGATGACAAAATGATGTTAGTCTCATCGCTAGTATTTCTCATCTGTAAAGGAAGGTTACATATTTTTAAGTAATTAGTTATTCCAATACGGCTTCAACCCCTTATGAATATTAACGAATTACTCAAGAAAAGTTATACTAATTACTGAGGAAAAGTTAGACAGTAAATGTTTCAATTATCTTCACTCAGCCCTTTTAACTCTAAAGCACATGGAATATAAATGTTCTTTTACAATCCTGGGTGTTCTGATTATCATTTAACCAGATAACAGCATGTAGCAGGAGTGCTTGTGTTGCTTCTACTTGGAATTGTTTGGGGGACATTTTATTATTTTTGATCGGAGGTAGTGTGTTAGATGTAGTTAACGTGATGTAGTTGATGTAGCGTGTGATGTAGCCCACCTAACCTCCTGTCTATTAAACCTCAAATATCCCCAAGGAATGTGAATGATAAATAGGTATCTGGCTACTTTTTTCTCATTTCTGCCCAAGGAACTGAGCATACCTTCGGTGAATATAAAAGAAAAATAAGACCCGTGATGTGTGCAGTCATCCTGTTAAAGTAACAGAGGAAATAAACCTAAAGGGTGTGAAGTTCATCTTGGGCCATGTGGACAAAAGCATAATAGCATCCTATTTCACAAACTGCCTGACTTTAGAAAGAAAGTAACGTAAAATAGTTCACAAATTTGTGATTATGCATTTGTTGCTATTACCCATAATGGACTTCACCTCCAGAATGTGTTGATGGGTCAATACTTACAGCAATTTCTTGCTTTCCTGCCATAAGTACCATGTTTGGGCTTAAGAACTTGAATTGTTTTGTCGTGATGGTGACCCTGTCATGATCCTGAAGAATGTGCAGCTGGTAAAGCACCGCAGGTCAGACGGCATCTAAGGAACTGGGAAGTCAACGTTTCAGGCCAAAAGCCTCCATCAGGACTGAGTAATCCTGAAGAAGTTTGATGACCTGGTTATATTTTGTCATTGCTGTAGAGATGTGGCATTGTGATCATCAGTACCACATCTTGGACACTGCACCAGATAATTTGATGCCCATATTTTGCTAAGTCTTAGGTCCCTGCTTTGTTTCAAGAGCTGGATGCCTGATAAGGAAGACTGCCTGATAAGGGCTGCCCTCTATGACTGTGGGTGATGACATTGTTAGACAACGCCATACTCAGGTGGAGCTTAGGTACAATGCAGCCCATTATTCAATCGGGTCCAACATGGAACAGCTAATAGGCTTCTTTGAGATGAGTTTCTAATGCTTGGATAGGTCTGGAGATGCCTTGCATGCTGTTCTCTGCACAACTGGAGCAGGAAGAAAGGCATGTGGAGGATGTTGAAGAGCTAGGAGAGTTGCAGCAATATCCTGAGGAGAAAGATGATGACTTTGAGCAGGAGAAACACCACCTTCACCGTGATAAACCAATGCAATGTCACATGCAACAAGCCAGACAGAACTGAATTGACACCCGCTTCCAATAGATCTGAGTTAGGTGAAGTGATCATTCATTAACTGTAATTTTGTTGTTGTTTGAAAGGCTCGCAGCCCTTCTTTAGTCCCAAAAACAAATGCAGCATTTTTGTCTTTCTTTTTCCTACATCTTTCCTGCTGTTTAATAAAAGTTGACATTAACAACTGTTTGAAAGCTTTACAACATCTGATTCTCCCACATTCAACAATAACAAGATGTTATGCTATGTTATGATGGGCATTAGGGAAAGAGTAGCACTCCTTCATACAGGTTTCTAACATTCTATGATGCTAATAGAAGGGTAGCCTTTGTAGCTTCATTCTTGTACCTGCAACTAATAACAGCCAATCAGACAGGTGATGAGTTAAAGTGCCATTATCCTTATTTTATGTACAATGAATTATCATGCATGTCATTTCTGTGTCCTTAGAATATTTTAATTTTCCTTGCCCTCCCATTACAACTAGTTCACTCTACAGGTCTGCAGCTGGGGAAGAGAGAGCCTGCATTATGGTGGAGTGTATTGACATATGAATTTTGCATAGAGGACCCTGTGGGCATTTGTTGCTAGGAGGCCCAAATATGGTGTCCTGACCAGAGCCAGGTACTGCTTCCTTGGCTTGAACTTGCACAGGGTGAGGTTAATGGTAGGTTGAAGGAACAGGCACCTTTGGAATGTCCTGAGAGGAAACTTCTAGGGAGAAGTATGTGGTTCCTCCTCTGGCTGGATGTTTACTGGCATCACCTTGTATCATTGTTAGGAAAGGGCATCTACAGTGAGATCAAGGTTGCCCATCCACCAATGCTTTGTGGCTGGTGTTAGCTGCCAATGGCCAAAGTGATGGGAGTGCATGTCTGTATGCATTTCTGGCAGCCGATGAGCATTCTGCTGGACCTGGCTCTCCATAGCAGCCACCGATTTGTCCATGGAGACAGCCAAATGCTCACATGCCAGAGTCAACATGGTACTGAGAGCATTGGGTGGATTCCGCCAACCTTCAATCCAGTTTCCCAATTGCATTCAACAAACCTGCATGTTGCTCCTGTGTCTGTTTTTCTATTTTAATGAAATTATTAATGACCCAATACCACAGGGTCCAGCCTTGCCTGGGGCTGAGCAGGTGCCTGGTCTCCAGCTGTCCTCTAATTGCCAGAGCCCTGGGGCATTTCCCCCTCGGGAAATTTGGAGATGTTGCAGTGAGTGCTCTCCAGTCTAATCTAAATAAAATACATACCACAGCGAGAATACATGAGCTGATAGTAGGTACATGAAGTAAACCTTGCCAGTGCATCATTTGAAGGATCTGTGTCTTCTTCCTCAAAGGTGGAGGGGCTGGTCCCAGTTGGATGGTTGTGTGAATGCCGCTCTCAGAAGACAAGAGGGAATGAGATAAAAATGAAGAACTGCAGATGATGGAAATCAGAAGGAGAAGCAGAAATTGCTGGAAAAACTGAGCAGGTCTAGCAGCATCTGTGTAGAGAAAGCACAGTTAATGTTACGGGTCCAGTGACCCTCATTCAGAAGAGAGGGAATGAGGTGCGCAGTTGCGCTAGAAGCTTAGTCATTTTATACTTTCCTCTTTCTGTGGAATGAGGCTAAAAATCTTCCCTCAGTCTTTTTTTTAACCAACATACAAAATGATGGATGTGCAGGATTTTGAGATTATAGATTGGAAGTTTTTGTACAGAATTACCTGAAATTTCACCATTATTCTGGCAGAAATCTAACTTATTTACGCCAAACCATTAACACATCAACTAAAAGGGGGGAAGAGGAGTTTCAAGCAAATGTGTCAACTGGTATATCACATTTGATGTTAGCAAAAATGAGGAATAAGTAAACCTCAGCTAATCATCAGGGATTGCTAATAGTGGGTTATTTTTCAGACTGAAGGGCTGTGATCAGCGGTGTTATGCTGGAATCAGTGCTGGACCCACTGTTGTTTATCATTTGTATCAATGACTTGGATGAGAATTTAGGAAGCATGGTTAGTAAGTTAGCAGATGACACCAAATTGGTGGTATAATGGACAGTGAAGAAGGTTATCTAAGATTAAAAAGAGATCTTGATTGATTGGACCAGTGGGATGAAGAGTGGCAGATGGAGTTTAATTTGGGTAAATGTGAGGTGTTGCATGTTAATAAGATGAACAAGGGAGGGACTTACACAGTTATGGTAAGGTCCTGGGTAATGTTGTCAAACAGAGAGACCTAGGGGTGCAGGTACATAATTCTTTGAAAGTTGCATCACAGGTAGAAGGCATTATAGAGTCATAGTGGCATAGTGATATGCAGCACAGAAAGCCCAACTCGTCCATACCGACCAGATATCCTAAATTAATCTAGTCCCATTTGCCAGCATTTGGCCCATATGCCTCTAAACCCTTCCTGTTCATGTACCCATCCAGATGCTTTTTAACTATTGTAATCGTACCAGTCTCCATCACTTCCTCTGGCAGCTCATCCATGCACGCATCACCCTCTGTGTGAAAAAGTTGCTCCTTAGGTCCCTTTGGAAGTTTTCCTCTCTCATCTTAAACCAATGCACGCTAGTTTTGGACTCACCCACTCCTGGGAAAAGACTTTGTATATTTATCCTATCCATGTTCCTTGTGATTTTATAAACCTCTATAAGGTCAATCCTCAGCCTTCGACTCTCCAGGAAAAACAGCCCCAGTCTCTTCAGCCTCTCCCTATAGATCAAACCCTCCAATCCTGGCAACATCCTTGTAAATCTTTTCTAAACCCTTTCAAGGTTCACAATATCCTTCCTACAGCAGGGAGATTAGAACTGCATGCAATATTCCAATAGTGGCCTAACCAATGTCCTGCACAACTGCAACATGACCTCCCCAACTCCTATACTTAATGCACTGACCAATAAAGGCAAGCATACCAAACACCTTCCTCACTATCTGTGATTCCACTTTAAAGAATCTACGAACCTGCACTTCAAGGTCTCTTTGTTCAGCAATACTTCCCAGGGTCTTACTATTAAGTGTATAAGTCCAGCCCTAATTTGTCTTTCTAAAATGTAACACCTCACATTTATCTAAATTAAACTTCATCTGCCACTCCTCGGCCCATTGACCCATCTGATCAAAATCCCGTTGTACTCTGAAGTAACTTTCTTCGCTGTCCACTACACCTCCAACTTTGGTGTCATCTGCAAACTTACTAACCATACCTCCTATGTTCAAATCATTTATATAAGTGATGAAAAGCAGTGGAACCAGCACTGATCCTTGTGGCACACCACTGGTCACAGGTCTCCAATCTGAAAACAACTTTCCACTACCGCTCTCTGTCTTCTATCTTCGAGCCAGTTCTGTATCCAGATAGATAGTTCTTCCTCTATTCCATGTGATCTAACCTTGTTAACTAGCCTACCGTGAGGAAACTTGTCAAAAGCCTTACTGAAGTCCATATAGATCGCATCTAACAACGCCCGCAACAATCCTCTTTTTTACTTCTTCAAAAAACTCAGTCGAGTTCGTGAGATATGATTTCCCACACACACAATGCCATGCTGACTATCCCTAATCAATCCTTGCCTTTCCAAATATTTGTAAATTAAGAAGGCATTTAGCACTCTTGCTTTCATTGCTCAGACTGTTGAGTATAGGATTTGGGACGTCATGTTGTGATTGTATAGGATGCTGATAAGGCCACTTTTGGAGTACAGTTCTGGTCACCCTGCTATAGGAAGGACATTATTAAATTGGAGAGGGTGCAGAAAAGATTTACAACAATGTTGCCGAGACTGAAGGGTTTGAGTTATGGGAGGAGCTGAATAGGCTGGGACTTGTTTCACTGGAGTGTAAGAAGTTGAGAGGTGACCTTATACAGGTTTGTAAAATCATGAGGGGCATAAGGTAGATAAGGTGAACAGCAAAGGTCTTTTTTCTCTAGGGTAGAGGAAATTCAAAATGAGAAGGCCTCACTAGCATCTTGAATCATCTGTCCATCTCAACAGACTGAAGCTCATTTCTGCCCTAATTGAAAGGACATTGAATTTCAGAGAATTCACCATTGGTTAGGTCATGTAGGTATAAAGGGCAGTGGGATTTGCCTTCATCACTGGACTCCATCAGCTGCAAGGGCTTTTCAAATGCACTCCTGTAGCCAACAAGTCTCAAGAACAGCAGCTAGGGGACATTATAAACAGGAAGGAATTCCAGTACACAAGTATAAGAAGCAATTCTTCTGGATCTGTACACAGTATCAGGCCAGTAGCCATCATTAGGTAATTGCAGGTGCCCCAGCTATTCATGCTCTTGGATGGATTGCAGGGGCACAAGGATTATTCACTGAA